TCTCCTTTGTTGTCCGTGTCATGTGCTCGTGCTTTTTTCTAGCTTGGTGTCTTTCTATCTCGTCTTCCTTTGGCATTGTTTTCTTCTTTGTTTTTTTACCGTTTCACTTTCTGACATTGACTATCTTTTTCGCTTTGCTTCTTCCTTTCTTGTCTTTTTCTGTGGTGCCTTTTGAACCTTTTTTTCTTTTTCTACTTGTCTTTGCGTGTTGCTGGCTCGTTATTTCTTCAAGCGGATGCCTTTGTGTTTTAGATTGTTTGTTTTTTTTAATGATGTCCAGTGACCTCTTTCAACACAATCCTGCTACACACTATATAGTGTAATTCCCCGCGCTCTTAAACGGCCTGCGACGTCCCTCCAAAATAAGCGGCCCGGGAGACCATAATTTTCCTACGCCCGACGCCCGATGGTGTGTTTCTATAATTTACAAGCACGAGCAAGAGCAAAACAAGCTTCGATCTAAACACCTGGAGCTGCGCAATCTGCTGTTTGTTGCATTTAGCAGCTGCACGGTCCCCATCAGATAGACAAAGTGCACTAGAAGGCTAGTCAAACGGGTGCTGTGGGTACCACTATGATGAATTTCATAGCTCACGCACGGATGCCGCCAGCTATTGGTAACACCTCAGCAGAAACGATGGCTTCAAGAAGACGCCAGTCTGAGGTACCAAGTGTTCAAGGCGACACCAGCAAGCCCTGGACAAGGGAACCACTCGTGGGGCTTCGCACTCATCCAGGGGTGAAGGGCTCGATGATCATGGCACCTTTAGCCTCGCATTTGGGGCCTCGCTCAGGAGTAAGGATCTATCTAAGACAATTTCTGGTCAGCTTCATTGCTTTGGGGACCGTGATGTTGCTTGGGCAATTGATGACAATTGTTGATTTTGATTTTAAAGTCAGATATCGCACTACATGTGCCCAATCCATGTTAAATACCATGTCTCAAACATCAAAACCCAGCACCCAGTAGTTCTGGAATGTCCCCAAAGCTCGTGGGTCATCTGGACATCTGCGGATCTCTTACGGACTTATACAGGTGATTTTAGATGATCTTAGATGTGTAGATCTGGGCACCTCTCGGGCACCCATCTGGGCACCTCTCGGGCACCGAAATTAGGCTCGGCTTCGTCCATCCTCTCGTCGCTCCGACGTGTGATAACCGCGCGCGGGTGCGGCTTTGGGTTGGCGTCCTCCAGCGCCGGACGCGCGGGCCGCACGTGCCTGGAGGAGGAACTGGTGGATCCGAAAGGCCAGGCGGTGCTGCGGGGCCTTCATCGAGTACTGGCGCCTGCTGGGCGTTTCATTTCAGTGGCTTGGGGCGCTGACAGGCGGAAGATGGCGGATGGGAGCGAGTGGCGAGCGTGGGTCCTAGGCGTCGTGCGTGTTGCTTTTTGGGTGGTTTTGGCCTGGTTTGGTTCCCTCTTGGCGAACAGGTGCTGAGTTGGGCTGCGTGGGGCTCGATGGGTTGAAATGAACGCTCACAAGCAAACGGTACGTATAATCCGGTCCACCTATTAAAAAAACACGCGTCCCCTCCTAATAAGGAAACCCCGGTCGCCTTTCTTTTAGTAGGGGGGTCCCTGAAATCGGGGTGGTCCAACATAGGGTCACCTGCGAAGGGCTTCAAAACCAAACAGTCACCCAGGAAACTTCTTATATACAATCGATTATTACACTCGTGTAAAAAATTCCAAAAACCCTCCAGATCGAAGGGTCTTTATTAGAACTAGAATAGTGATTCTTCATTAGACTAACAACTATACAAAGCTTTCGAAAGGTGATGTCGCTGTGCCATGCGGTTTTGCGTGACCTCGGTGGAAAGTGCGTTTGCGTGAGTCCGTGCCATTTGGGGAAGGAAATCCTGCTGGTGTAAACACGGCGTGTCATGGTGGATAGACAGGGTGGACAGCGGTGGGCAGTTACGGTTGTGTTTGGAACCTATATAACTATAATAACTCCTCCAAAGTCAGCCATGTTGGTAGTTTAGTAGCGGCTTAAAAGGGCGACAATTACATCTCCCGAAGACACTGCCGCTCACCCAACATGGAGCAAGTTCTTCACCCTATGAAGAAGCATACTCCGGCTCCGGCCTTGGATCAGCCACCTGGCCACTGATCTGTAATCTAAACATCTCCAGACCGATGTTACATGTCATATCATGCCATGAATCGCTGTGACATTCCAATATATTCCAATTTAGATGCATTTAGTATTGTAAATATGTCTACCGCGTGTTTACTCTAGATATTCTACCATTTGTTTACTCCAGAGATCTCAAGAGATCTTGGATCCTCTCAAGATCTAGGCATGAGTACTCATTGAGAACCCCATACGAAAAGCTCGTACGAACGGCTCGCCTCGGTGGGTCCGGAGGCGGCAAGCGCTCCTCCGCAGTGGCGGGCTCTTCGAGGTTCAGGTGATGAAGGGACGACGACCGGAGGGGGAAGGGACGTAGGAAGGGAAGGTTCGGTGAGTCCAAGGAGTCAGGTCTCATGTATCATCGAAGATGAGGATAGGTTTTTGAGTTCTATTATAGTTCTATTCGATTTGATCGGTTTTAGTATTATTTTAGTGATGTTTGAGGTTGTACTGGCTTCAGGGATGAATTTGAGAAAAGGAATGACCAGTTGGCTTGGGACAAGCAGCCTTCTTTGTCTTTGAGACTCTTGGAGAATCGATGTCGCTTCCCCCTCTGGGGCTCGGTGAATGTGCCTCGTTCGCGACTGAGAAGGAATGGTGGATTCAGCGTGAAAACAACACCCCGGCCCCATCCACAGGTGTCTTTGGGCTTGGCACGGTTTGGGATGGGCATGGATGGGCCACCCAGCAACAGTCCTCCTGTGGTGGAAGTTGCGAGGCTTGTCTTTCGGAACGTGAAGGCTTGCACTTCTTTAGCCGGCACTGGCCAGGTACACCAACTGCCTGGAGAAGCTGTGCAACGGCCCTGGGTTTATTTCTGCAGGACTGGTGATAGACTCTTTTTTGATAGAGAGGAGCAAGCAGAATGGTAGGATTGCTGGTTTATAGCTCTCACGCTCAAAGTGGTACAGCAATTACAATCCACTTCTCAATTCCTCTGGAGTCAAGGCCCTACAGCGCATTATCCACTGGCTGGGCCTTTTCTTCGGTCGTGCTTTTAATCATCGACCAACTGGTGTGAGACTTCCCTCACTAGCCTCCCTCCAACTTCACATGGAAGTGAGCACCCAAGATCCTATTGTTTAGCAAAAGGGTCTTTCCAGGGACCATGTTTCCATATACTTTATTCCATGATTCTTTGGAGGGAGCCGAGACTACCCATTGGTCTCAAAGTCTAGTCTACCCCAGCCGAAATCGTGCCGAAATCCACGAATCGGAACTTGGTCCTTCCGCCGCCCAAAACACCTCGAACTTCGCGTTGCAGGAAGTTGGCGCCGATCCCGCGGAGGACAGCGGAACGAGGGCGGAGGGCGTTGGCAGTTGGAGGCTTGAAAGTATATATCAGTTCCATGTTCCATGTTCTCGGGTCTGGTCTGGTCGGATTCTGGTCTGGTCTTAGGTTGTCGCGTTCGATCTTCAGAGGCCAAGAAGGTGCAGGTGACGACGTTGGAAGGGGCGTATTGCTCGTAGGGTCAAAGCTGGAGAATTAGCAAGAATATGCAAGAATGGTTTCATAAATGCATTCCTATACGGGTTTCTGTTCATAGGATATGGATTGTTGAAACCTCCTGGCATGACCTGAGATATGAAAAGACATGGTCAGACAGTCAAGTCTAGCCATGACACCCTGGCGTTTCACTTGGTTTCACTTGGCGGCGTTCTTTGGCTGGCCTGTCTCAATGACTTGGGAGTCTAGAGGTCCCAACGGCGATCTTGTTGGAGGAACTGATCCTGGAAACATCAAAACAGTGCAAGCTGCACTCCCTGAGAGTGTAAGGAGCTGAGAGCTATACAGCTGATTGGTTGATTGGCCACACCGGTCAATTGGTTACATCATGTTACATCTATTGCTTACAGGTTATTAATTGAGCACCAACTTCTTGAGTATGTTGACCTTTTAAGACCTTTTGGGAGAACCTCATTCTCAGTAAATCTCAAGCAAAGCATCTCAAAGGAGCAGGCGCAACGCTCCAATCTTGGAAGGTCCCTTCCCTTCACGACGGATGGTTAACTGGGTGGTCTCAGATCGTTATGTTCAACCTTGATACTTGGCAGATGAGAACAGCCCCGTGTCGTTTTCGTGGAAACCGCCAACGGTCCGTGAAGTGAAGTGGCCTCACTTTGCTTGGAAGTGGCCCCCAAAGGTAGGCTCCGTCTTCGGCTTTGGGACAGCACTCCTGGTGGTTCGATGTAACGCGAGGATGCCGCGCTTGCCTGACACCATGGTGCAGTGCATAGAGGAAGATGAAGGTCTCCAACTGGCCAGAGCACCCAGCAGGGTGGGATTGGAAGTGCGAAACTGAGTATCGGACGGGGTGCCTGGCCCAGGCAGACTAATCAGATACCATAAAGATAAAGATGTATAGACTGTTCCATGACACCCCAAAGTCCGTGAACTCAGGAGCCCACCATGCCCAGAGGGTCGCATGGACTGTGGCATGGGCTGTGGATGTGGCTGTCAAAGTGAATTTGGATCGGACAGGGAAGGGCTTCAACGATCTGGGAGTGGGAGCAGAAGGGGAAAGAGCCGTCGCCGATGTCGCTTTTATCCATGGATTTGGACCCAGAGAGGGAGCTTTGCCGCGCAAAGCCAAGGGCTTACCAGGCATTATCACCAGGTGTACGTACAGTACTTACTTCAGCAAGAAGAGGTGGAGGAGAAGGAAGAGTGACCGATGGTGATAGAGTGAAAGATCAGAGATTGTTCTCCGAGGCATTGGCCTCCGAGGCATACGGTGAGTTGAGACTATTGTATCAGTGGAAAATTAACCACCTTTTTGTAACATTGTAGAGGAAAATGGTCATCCACGAGGCCATTTGCACTTCCATGTTTAATTTAACATGTCTAAACTGTTCCATTATCTGCTTGGCTTAGCCGCGAAGCCCCATCCTGGCAAAGCAATTTTCTTACATGCCGAAACAACCCTTGCACAAATCCTCTCAGAACCCCCCAAAAAGTCGACCGTCTCACAAGGTCATTGAGCTGGGAGACGTCTGCAGATCCTCCGTGCAACTGGACCTCGCCAGTCACGAGCTGCACTTGAGCACGCCGAGCTTGGGACAGAGGAGTGCCAGCTGGCGAGCTTGGCATATCCGGCTGGGCAGGGGCCCATGTTTTAAGGAGGACATCTTAAAACTACTGGGCCTCTCAGCCCACTTGGAAATGTTCTCAAAGCTTGTCTCGGGTGCCAGTGAGCTACAGGCCTTAGCGCCCTCCTTTGCCACTCAGCTTACTTCGAGGTCCAAGAAGATCTTCCCTGCCTTCTTTTTTGATATGTCTTCTTCGTTGGAGAGGAACACCGACGCCGTGTCATTTGGCCAGACCCATGTTAGGTAGAAATCTGTGGCCACAATATCGGCTTAATTATTGGGGGCACATGTCCAGTTTGGATTGGTTTACGCGTACATCCAGGAAGACAAGAACACTGCACCCCTTGGCATTCACGCCTTTGGCCCAAATAACTGCGGCGGCGGCGGCGAGGAGCTACGCATTCCCTTGCCCCGTTGATGTGGACAGTGCCAAAGTGCGCTGGATGAAGGCACCGTGTTTGTCCAATTCGTTATGATGCAGTGTGGTCGTTTTGCCTGATGTTGTCGTGACCCTAGGAATCCGTGTTGTTTTTTTTGTTGTTTGTTTTCAGCTTCGCACAGGGAAGCAATGAGGAGTTTTGTCAACCATCATTATATCAATAGCATGCTTTCAAACAACATATGTAAACAATTGTAAACATGTGTTTTCTTTTTTCAAGTTGGTGAGAAAAAATAGCTTGTTATATGCCATAATGTTTCAATCAAGACAACCGTATCATGTCACCGCAGGTGGAGAGCAGCTGCTTGCAACTCCGAGTGGGTCCGCGCAACAAAAGGGACGAGGAGGTTGGATCAGTTACTGAGTTCTGTAGTGATCTGAGTTGTGACCACCCCCCCCAAAGTGGATAAGTTATGATAGATCAGTTAGCAGTGTATCCTTTCAAACATTCTATTGAAACTCAGGGTCCAAATTTATATTACATAAATGTTTGTGTTTGATTTTAGCAACCAACTTTGGGGTCTGCAGTATTGCAGAAGTTTCCATTCAAAGAGGCACTCGTTTGACACCATGCAACCGAGGTTTGTTGAGAGCCACCAAAGGGGACAAAAAATTGAGTTTCGACTGTTTTTGAATATTGAGCACGTGGAGTCCCTTAACTGTTGGATAAAGATGGATCAAAACTACAGAGGCTAAGCCGGACTAAGCATCTTTAAATTGGTGGCAATTCCATACAATTCCCTAGTATTCTAGTCTAATCTTTATCAGGTTTTGTGCTCACCTCAAGAACAGACTGTGATTGACCTTAGCTGAAGGGCCAGGCCTGCCAGATCCTGCCAGGCTCTTGGAGGTTCCGAGTTCGAAGAAATGATCAGAGCAGGACCCCCCCTCTTGTTGAAAATTCACACCTGAATCCTCCTTGCTGTGGCTAGAAACATTCTCTGAGGCTGCCTAGGCTGGTGCACGAACGGAAAAAAACAGGTTTTCACCAGGAGGTCGGGAACCCCTACTCTCGACTCGGACGTACTGACCGAGCTGGTCACCGGTAGCTTGATTGCTCCAGCGACCCCGCACGCTCCGCTCCATCCATCGATCCGTGTTCTTCCCGCGCCGTGAAAGTCATGGGAAGTGGCTCGGTACCAGCGCAAGTGGAAGGATGGGGGCGGGACCATTCTCAGCTCCAAGCAGGCCCAAGCAAATAGATTCTGACCAAGCTCTTGGCTCAGCCTGATCACACTGGTGGCTTTAAGGTTTCAAAAAGGATTTTGCCAGCTCTAAGCAGGCTGGTGTGTGCGCCAGTTCTTGCTGAGGAGGGTATAGATCACGGGCAGTGCGCCCTTTGCACTTCTGTGATGCTAGGTCGTTGGCTGTTGAAGAGGTGTCAACTTGTTGTACTTGTTGTTGGCTCCCTTGCGATTCATTTTTGCAAAGACAACATTCAACATCATGAAGCTCAGCTCGAGAGTTCATCCAAGTTCATCCTTTTTTGTGGGGGCGCCAAGCAAAAAAAAGGGTGTGACTGTGCAGGACATGCAAGGCAGACGCTTTTGTTCCCGGAGGACGATGTCAGTCCCTATACATGTTCCACTCCATCCTCCACCCCGACGGTCAACCTGCTCGGCTCCTCCACCCCAGGTGGTGCCTCAGCTCCCAAGGACATGGCATCGGGTGCAAAGGAACTGCTAGGCGTCACTTGGGCATTGACCAAGTAGAAAGAAACAATTAAAAACACTTTTATAGATGTGTTTTGTGTTTTGTTGGGGGACCTGTCTTAAGTTAGGTGTTTTTTGTGTCTCTTGGGTCTGTTTGATGCTGCAACTTCTGGCGGCCGCCGTGTGGTGTTCAAGTTCATTGGATGCAACCAGTGGAAAATCCGACTGGGCACTGGGCACCCACCCAAAACAGCAGAATAGAAGCGCCACCTGTTGAATCTGGAAGGATATTCTGGTTTCGAAACCAGAAATTCTCGGGAGGAGGTTCTGGGGTAGTGAGATCCAGCTCCTAGGGCAAGCCAGGGCGAGCGTGGTTAGTTACAGGCAGAAGTTGTCCTATATTAGCCACGGCACAGAGAAAATCAGTCCAACATCATGTCGATCCAATGCACAGTTAACATCAGAGTCCATCTAAGGAGCACTTGATCAAATGTGGAGGTGCGGACGTCGCCACCGATCTTGATGCGGTCTCCATGGATGAACCGATGGATGGTCTCCGCGGGGGTTGGGCCGGTGGGTTTCCCGTGGGATGCGGCCACCGCTTCAAAGGGATCTTTTTTTCAGGGGGTGGAAGCGTAGAACATCGGAGGTTCCGATGTTCTCATCGTATGGAGAACTGCTCTGCAGTTCAGTAGCCACTTCTGGCTCCCTTACTCGCAAATGGGTGATGAATGCATGACTGGTCATGACTGGTCAGCCAAGTCTGGCTGGTGTTCATTTGGAAAGTGGAAGTCAATTTGCCAAAAACGACACCGCAATTAAAGAAAGGGTTTCTTGGCGGATCAGCCAATTTGATGTGTGTGTTGCTTATCAGGATGTTTAAGGGATTCGCGAGCTTTTGTGAGGCATCTATATACACAAAATGTTTGAGGCCAAATTCAGAAAGAATGGAGTTTGCGTGAACTCAACACATTGTGAGTGTCATATGAGCAACTGCCAAAACCTCCGATAAAGGCAGCATCACTACAGTGAAGACTAAGTAAGTAAAGTGCAGGAGACCTTCAGGAACGACAAGATTCACAGAAAAGACGATAAGGTTTTTGTTAGGTGTGTCCAAACCCTCAGGAACGATAAGGTTCACAGAAAAAACGATAACGTTGGGAAGAGTGCGCACTGCACCGCATAAGAGGTTTTGACCGTCGCTCATATGAATTAAGAATGACTTTGCATCCACACCTCAGCAGCCTCGGCGGCATATCGATTCGACACCCAGGGTTGAGGCTGGTTTGAGGCAAAATTAGCAACCTCAAATGCGTTTCTGAGAATCCCTCAATAGATGCATGAACCTACTAGTATATAGCATAGTGTAGATATATAGTAATATACAGATGTGTTAAGATTCAGGTGGTAGCCACCTTGAGCAAGCTCAAGTGCTGGATTAGCCAAAGCTACTACAGCACGTTCTGTCACCACCCATACTTTTGCTGTTGCTCGAGAAAAGGTCGCAGTTCCAGATGCCTGGAAGACGAGGTGTTCTTTTCGGCGTCCCATCCAAGCATCATCATCATCGAATGCAACCTGTCAACCCAAAAAAAAAGGAAGAAACACTCCTCAGAACGAGGCTCGAATGAGGCAAGAGCCACCGATGTTTGGAATCGCCGTTTTTGCGACGAGTGGACACGTTGTTTGCACGTTTCAGGTGATGAGAAGGTTTCTGTGGAGGAGGCACTCAAAGACAAGAAGGCAGGGGACATGGCCAGGGGACGCGAAGGCATTGAACAAAGTCGGCATTTCGATGTGCATGTGTGGGTTGAGTCCAAAGGAACATACAGGGCAAGTGGTTGAAAGCATGTTGTTTTGCTTGCCCCTATTTCTACACGATCGCGAGTATAAGCAACCAGAAGATGCGAGATTCGCCGCATCCATGGAGAATTTCCTCTCTTAGTTCCAGGGACCAGAAACACAAAAACTGCCGGCCACACGAGATCTGCACTTCACGAGTTGTATTCTTTCAACCGCCTGTGCTGCTTTCACGTGTCCCAGGTGTTTTTGTATTGCCCTCGGGAGGATCAAAGTGCCCCCCCAAAATAGACCAATGATGCCCTGAGAAGAATAGAGGGTCGGTCGATGCGAGGTACCCGGCCAACCTACTGGTTGTTTACCCAGAAAAACATTTCACTTAAAAGGCCATCGGGCTGGTCTTGACCCGGGACATGCGGTAACTGGCTTTGTCGATACAGTTGGCGTAGTAATAGTCTCGTTTAACTTTCCCTGAATCTGAAAGGTAAAGAAAGTAAACAACATAATTTGTACAACAGAACAACAAGACCAGGTGTTTTTGATGTGTACTTGCTTTATATTTTTATACATGCTCAGATTTTTCGAACTTTTGCCTGAGTCTATATCAGTGTCGCAGTGTGCCCTCAGTCTTTAGTACACTTGTTTTTTGTAGTAGAGTAGAAATAAATTGGAAACAACATAGAAACTAAAAACACAAGTGATTAAAAGCGAGACACATATAACAAACATGATGTTTCATGATGTTTCTATTTAGACAATTGAGATGTTTCTCTTATTTTCCTTTTAGGCAATACCTCTTTTCTGCGGCCAGCAAACCTTGAGAGGTCAGCTGAGTTTATCCACCACCGGAAATGTATCCGGTATCCCTGACCCACAATAGGTCCTGTTTGGATGAACCCTGTGTCAACAAACGAGAGGCTGTGGCCCTCTACTTCTCAGCTCATTGGTGCCCTCCTTGTCGCGGCTTGGCGGTCGATCGATGTCGAGTCCATTCGGCAGATGCTTTGGCTAAGAGACCCGGATTGACATCGTTGGACTTGTGTGGTGAGCAAGATTTGGGGTATAGTCACGGACGGACAGTAGGCCCTTTTGCCGGGTGCAGTAAGCAGTAAGGTTCCTGCCTACTGACCGGCGTTGACTAAATGTTGATGTAAGTTGCATCTCATCCACCAGAGGATGCGGGGAGACTCACTAAGTCTAGGAGACTCACTAAGTCTGTGAGGAGACTCGCTACCTTCTGGGCCATAGTCATTGTTTGAGTGCCTGAGATATGACAAGTGAAAAGCCTAAGCTTCGTTCCTTCCAATGAGTGTACACTCATTTTATCACCCCATTTATCGTCTGGCCCTCTTAATCCCGCTCGAAGAAACCGTGCCGGCCACCGTTGGCACTGCTCAGGTGGTTTCACTCCCAAGTTGGCCGAAGCATATACGTCCCATTTGAAGGAGACCGTCTTGAAACGAAGGGCCACCCATCCAGGGTCTTAAGTCTTTCTTCGAGCCATGTGGGCCCAGGTCTCATGGGTCCGGCCCAGGTCTCATGGGTCCGGCCCAGGTCTCATGGCTCATGGGTCCGGCCCAGGTCTCATGGGTCCGGCCCAGGTGGCCTCGTAAGTCTGCCCAGCCAATGTAGCAGATGCTTTGACAACATGCTTTGACAATACATGGATATATGGCAATGGTATTATATTGGCATTATACAGCAAAGCCCAGTTGCCCTGCATTTTCGGCGGCTCCTAAGACGAATCTCAGGTTGCTCAGTTGTGTCGGCTTGAATTGCAGTTCCCTCACTGCCTTTGCTTGAGATGACTCCCTACGATGTTTTTCAAACAGCAGCTTGCTGATGAGTATAGACTCACAAATACCGTGAATGAGACCTCTTTCAGTCCAATGATTCCGGCTGTTTTACCAAAACAGATCCTGCGCACAGGCTGGCTGGCCGGCAACACCACAGCTGGCCGTTGGCAACACGTGCTGCAAAGCCACAGCTTACAGCACTCAAAAGCCATCCTCAAATGGGTGTCACTCAACACTGGCGCCCCCAAATACCCTGTGGATGGATAACTCCTAGGATCCTGATTTGGCCGGTAACAGGACGGAACGCATTTGAGACTGGGATGAGCCTCCCTCCTTGGGAGACCACTACAATGGGGCACTGCAAGTGCAACAACCATCTCCCCCCCTCTTCAGGGAGCAACAAACATGACACCTACGGCGGAGCGCCCAGCGCCCCCCACCCTGGCGGACTGCGGACTTCTCACAGGACAAGGGCTTGGAAGTGATCTTCGTGTCCTCGGACCGCCTCTCGACCGATGTCGGACCGCGCGGCGCGACCAAAAACGGACGGCCAAGGGGATTGATGAACCTGTGTGGGCTATGGGTGTCCTTTCTTGGGGCATCATGTTCATTCATGTTCATATAAATATACATATGGGATCTCAACATAGAATCTCAGCATGGACGTTTACTGCAGATGTTTTGACTTAAGCCTACAGACAGGCACAGAAGTTACCATCTTGTGGCGGCTTGACCCCCAGCCAGACCACCACTTGCACACCGGCCAGCATCCTACTACAAAAGTTTGCCCTCTCCTTGTCCGGAGACACGCTCTGATTAGTTCCTTGTCCGGTCACTGTCTACACTCACCCCGATGTTGCCCGACTGGAGCAGCCCAACTTCCTCCCTTGACTGGTCGTTCAACACCCGCCGGTGTGGCACATCGGTTTGGAGTTCCGTTTGGCACGCGCGATGCGACGATCGAGTCGTCGAGCCAATCGAGGCGACGATGCGAGCTGGAAGGAGTACTGCGGAGAGATGTTCGGGGCGCCAAGTCCTGCGACCGAACGTGGCAGCGAGAGCGCTACGTTGAGCGGACCAGTCTGCTGGTCTGAGATGGGCGCGGAAGAATCTCTGGCGCCCCTTATCTCAGAGATGTGCCCTCATATAAGTTGCAGGGTATGCCATAAAGCACTGGAAAATCACCCCCCCGTTTGTAGTGGTCCTCTAGAAGAAGGATGAAGAAGGTCATTCTATGTCATTCTGTAGAAAAAACTGGCGTGGGGGCACAACTTCAGAGGTTATATACACATTTTCTAGTGGCGAGGTATAGCTCTCTAGAAAGTACATAGCCTTGTGTTTTCAAGGATCATGTTCTAGAGCCAGCTATGCACGTTCTAGAGACTTTTTGAGCAGTTGCCCACACTGGAGTTGTATGATCCTTGTTCCTTTCATTGTCCTTTGTTTGTTTGAAGTTTGTGGATGCTTAAGTCAGTTTAAACCTGGGGGGGAACAGCTGGCGAACAGAAGATAAAGACCACTTCGAGAGAACAAAACAAACCAGCCAGAAAACTCTGACTCTGAAACTGATGTATGTCGATGGCGCATTTTCTTTTCTTTTATTTGTCATTATATAGAGTCATAGAGATTAGTTTTATTGCTACAAATTCTATCTAGACATCATGTCTCTAAAATAATGTCCGGCAAGTCATCCCAGTGGGTTTCAGCATGGAGGATCATAGGCTCATATAGGCTCGAGGTTTGATTGTATCAGGCACGGGCCTCCCTGGGGGCCACCGGTTCCTGCAGCTTAGGCCATGGCTGGCTTTGCCCAGGGAGGCGAAGGCAGAGTGCCGGCCGGCTCGTGCGTGTTACGTCCGAAATGGATCGGAGGGGGAGAAGATCTATGGAGTGTTATCAAGGTTCAGACCAGGCGGTGGTGAATCCAGAAAAAGATTCTACCAATCAGTCAATCAACCAAACCATAGACAATCAGGTATTGGTATCCTCGTTATGATTTGGAACACATTGTTCCATCATTGATTTGGAGATGGTTTAGATCACCAACCTGAATCGGTTCAAACATCGCTGAAAGATCAGCTTCGGGTGCCTTCAAGGCACCCGTAGGTGGTCGCTTCATCCAATTATAATATACCTGTGATCGTTTTTCAAGTATCGACTTTTAGCAGTTCCAAAGGGGTGCCAAATGGAGGATATTGGAGATTAGAGGTGCCCATTATCTACTCACTTGGGGTCCAAACACAATCCCTTTGGACCTCCTGGTTTAATCCCAGACACTCCAAATATATACTATAGTCTATGCCTGCCGAACGCAGTCTATGCCTACGTAGTCTCCACCACCCCCCCTTTGGTAGGCAAATATGGCAGTCCCATGGAGTGATTGGGAGTGGTCCACGCGAGGGCCCGGTGGCGAGCAAGTTCAAGGTCCGCGGCATTCCCACGTGCCTTTGGTATGAATTTCGCGACGGTCTCACGGAATGAAACGGAACCGGTGAACAAAATCTGCGAGATCTCTATTTAGGGGCCCAGAAGGAGGCTTCAAAGGATTCTCCTACCTTGAATTCTTCACCTGCAAGGCCTTTTGGCACCGTCCGAGATTTAATTCGTATTATTCAACCCCAACAAGAGGAGATTGTCATGTACTATTCTGTTGCTAGGATGATCATGCCCGCTGGAAACTCTTTTGGTTCGCGCCCACTTGGCAAATAACATGATGGCTCTGAGGTCTGAGGGTGTTTTTTCTCGTCCACTGCACTGCCCGTCGTGAAGTTCTGAGGATGATTATCCTGGACCCCACAGACGGCAGCATCATCACAGAAGATGGTCGATCTGCAGTGATGAAGGATCCCACAGGCGGCGATGTCCCTCCTGCGAGGTCCTTTTTGTTGTTTTCACGCAAAACAGCTGTTTTCACGCGCAGCGAGCGAGCAAGCCAGCGTGCTCTCGATGGAGAATCGTGTCTGCGATGAAGGAATGTTTCGTTGGTGGGAGCGGTATGGGGTGGGGTGATGTTACTCCCAGTGAGCCCCAGGGATTGGAATTTTGCTTGTCCTGCCCTAGGGCTCCAAGTACCTCCTCAGAAGGTATTTGGACCCTCCAAACCCACCCCAACACCTTCTCAGAAGGTAGTTGGAGCCCTATAGGGCTGTCTCCCTTTCTTTGGGTCACTGGAGCGGTCGGTGGTGTATCTCCGAAGCTGTCGACGGTCGCACCGCTTGAAGCGGTCGGACCGGACCTACCTTGCGGTCG